CCTCTCTCACTGCTCTTTGCCAATGTTTTTACTTAATTATCCTCCTCAAGGGAACTGGGCCTTTCTTGAAATTCATTGCAGTTGCTTAATGGAATAGAAAATTTTCTAAAGACCAAATTGGTGATCGACCCCAGTCTGAGGCTGTGAGTCCAGATTTGATTTTTCAGCACTGCACTTTCCTGTCTGGGTACTTAATTCTGGGTACTTACCACCCCCATTTCAAAGCACTATAAAGTCATAAATTTTGTTTTGTTTCTGGTGGCCTGCAGGAATTTAATTTTTTTTTCTCCCTGTGGACAGTCAGTTGTCCCAGGACCTTGTATGGAATATGCCATTCCCCCCATCCTGCTCCCCTGATTCTAAATGCCTAGTTAGTCAAACACACGATTCCATATACTTGTACGTCTCTTTCTGGGCATTCTGGTCCATCCTCAGATCAGTACCATACTGTTTTTACTGTTACAGATTTAAGTCTTGCTATAAGATAAGACAAATCTCTCACCTCTTTTCTCCTTTAAGATCCAAATTCTTCCCTCTTTCTCAAGAATTAAAGAATCAGCTAAGGGTTACAGTAGAAACTTCAGGGTTTTTCATGCACTAACACTGAGTATGTAGAGCAATTGAGATGCAAGTGGGAAGAGCTGACACCTTTATGATACGGAGTCTTTCATCAATAAACATCTATGACATTTTCTTTTACGTCTTTTCATAAAATTTTATAGTTTTCCCCAAAAAGATTTTGCACATCTTTTGTTAGATTTTATTCCTTCATGACTTTTGCTGCAAGTATGAATGTATTCTTTAAGCATATTTTTTAAGGGGATTAAGAGGTAGAAATGTCTACTTATAAAATAAATGAATCACAGGGAAGAAAAGTACAGCATAGGGAATATAGTCAACAATATTGTAATAACTTTGTATGGTAGACAGATGGTGACTACACTTACCAAGGTGAACATGTTAGAATGTATAGAATTGTCGAATCACTGTGGCAGACACCTGAAACCAATGTAATCGCACATGCTCACTATAAAATATGTGTATAAAATATGTCCTAACAGGTTGTTGCTGGCTTGGATAAATAGTATTGATGTTTGCCTATTAATCTTTATCCAGGAATCTTGATGGAATTTAGGTCTAAGAGTTAGTCTATAGATTCTCTTGGATTTTCCATGCAACTGCAAATAATAATTTTGGATCTTTTCCCCCAATCATTACAGTTCCTCCCTACTGTCCCCATGTCTTCCTTATCACATCACTCAGGAGGTCCTATACAAAGTTGTAAGAGTGTTGGACCTACTGCCTTTTTCCTCGCTTTTAAAAAATATATATTTTTTACAGTTTTACCAGTTAAAATATTTATTGTAGGTTTTTGTATATACCCTTCAGAAGGTTGAGGAAGAATTTTCTCACACTAAAGGATATTTAATTTTCTCAAATGCTTACCCTGAATCTATTTTGATTATGTGGATTTTTCTTTTTTAAATTAACCATTAATTTAATTAATATAATAGATGACAGATTAATAAATTTTCTCATGTTAAGCTGCTGTATATATCGCTAGGTTTCATTAATATTTTGTTTAGGATTTTTCATCTGTGAGTTAGTTTAACATGTATTTTTCCTTCCTCATATTGTCCTTGTCTGGTTCTAGTGTCAAGTTTATACCAACCTCATAAAATGAGTTGGGAAATATTCCTGCTTTTTCCCTTTTCCAGAAGAATTTGTGAAAATTAAACTTATCTGTTTCTTGAAAAATTTGTGGAACTTGCTTGAAAAGCTATTTTGTTCTGGTGTGTGTGTGCACATTCCTCTGTGAATATCATAGACTGTTGATTCACTTTCTTCAGTGGTAGTATATCCAGTCATATTTCCTATTTATAATTGGGTTAGTCTCAAAAAGTTATATTTTTATAGGAATCTGCCCATTTTATCTAAGCTTTCAAACAATATAAAGTCATTCCAAATATTCTCTTATTATCCTTTTAATCTCTGTTGCATTTCTAATTGTGTCCCCTCTTATTATTTTACTAATAATATTACTGAACAAATACTTACATAATGACTACTATGTGCCGGCAATGTTCTGGGCACTTTCCAAATATGAATTCATTTGTTCCTTATAGCAACTTTAAAAGGTGGGTACCATCATTATTGTCTTCATTTTATATATAAGGAAACTGGGTCATGGAGAGGCTCAGTACTTTTCTCACTGGCATACAGTTGGAATTCAAACCAGGCCATCTGGAATCCATACATTTAACGACAATGTCACACCGCCTCTGCATTGTTGATAATGATTTTCACTCTGATTGCTTACGATGTTTCTCCTTTTCTCTCAATCAGTCTTGCCAAAGGTTTGCCAATTTTATTAGTTTTTTGCAGAGAACCAGCAGATTTATTGATCCATTTCATTGTATGTTTGTTTTCTATTATATTCCTTCTGTTCTTATCTTTATCAACCCTTTTCTCCTACTACCTTTGGATATGTTATATTTTTCTTCTCTTTTGTTAGAAATTCAGTTCCTTTTTTAAAATCCTTCCGAAGACTATAAACTTTCCTTTAACTAGTGCTTTAGCTGTATCCCACAAATTTTGATTTGTGGTATTTTTAGTTATTCAGGTGTGTTTTCTAAAATATTTTTTATGTTTCTTTGACCCATAAGTTATGTTTTTAAGTCTTCAAAAATGTTTTCTAAGATATGTATTTTTACATTGATTTCCTAACTTAACTGTTCTTTAACCAGAGAATTTGATCTAGAAGACGCCAGTGCTCTGGAAATTTACTGAGACTTGTTAATAGCCTGGTACATGGTCAAGTTTTTACAATATTGATGATGTTTTACCTATTAATCTGTCACTTAATGAGAGATTTATGAACACCTCCCAATCTGATAAAGGTTTGTCAGTACTTCCTTAAAGGTTTTGGTTGGTTGGTTGTTTGCATGCCTTCAAAATTTGGAAGCTCTTTTCGAGGCTTTTAACTTTAAGGCCTATTTTTGCCTGATTTTAGTTTATCACTTCCAGCCTAGTATATTTGAGCAGTTTAACAATTTTTTCTGACGGGGTCACGAGAGATTTAGTGGTTGGTATCCAAATAGAATTTGTGTACATTTCTTAGCTTGTATTTTTCTGACCCACATGGATAGTGTAAATTCACACCATACACATGTATTAGAATTTTCTCTTTTTCAAAGGACCCCCTTCCCTTATGCCCCCCCCCCCCCGAGTCTAAAGCAGACAGTAAGCCTTATGGCTTCTCTAGACTGGTGTACGGAGTATTTCTAGACTCCTTTTCATACACTGGGCAATGCTTTGAACATCTGCATTTAAAGTAACCCTACATGTATTTGAACTTTCTGGAAACAAAAAAGTTTTTTTTTAATTTTTCCATTTGGCATTTCTGCAGCAAACTTACTTCTTACCATGACTGCTGTGTTGCCTTGGCCAACTATTCCAGATGTTACGCCTTGTTTTTGAAACTGATAAACAAATATCAGAAGAAACAGGTCAGTTCTTTATGAATTTAATTCTTCAGCATGTTTTTGCATTGGTGTATTTGTGTAAGCTCATGTTGAGTGGCTTTATGCTTTGAATGTACCAGTTTCTATCAGAAGCTTCCATATGATGTATAATACATGGCCCCTGGAGACAGTTACCTGTAGGAGTTGAGGAGGGAGTAGCTTGAGGCAGAAATGGCTACAGTAGGATGGTTGATGTGGTAGGATTTCTGGTTTAGGGAGAAGGGTGGGTGCGCCGTGTTGCTCCTCCCAGTGATCTCCAGACCCCTACATGAGAATCCTCTTGGGGTGGAATGGGGGCCTGCTGAGTCAGATGGGTGGGAAGGGGCCTGGCCATCTGCACTTCAATGAGAACCACCCGGCCCTCTGATGCAAAGTAAAGTTTGGGATCCCCTACACTGGGTATACTCTTTTAGAACATAAAATTCTTCTAAAATAAGGTAAGTATTAGAAAAAATTATTTGGTTTTAATGGATTGGGTAAAAGTATATATAGTTGTTTAAAAAAAGGAAAAAGTCACAAATGACTCTACCGTAATAAAATCATAATAGTACAGACATTAAGTTTTATGATATTTTTGAGTATTCATTAAATACATTCTATTTTCATTCAGCTTTATAAGTGATTAAAGTGATATCAACTCTTTAGTGAGACAGTTTATATGTGAACACAATATATATTCATTTCAAATATGGTAAAATTTCAGAATCACAACCTAAGCTTAAAACCAAGTTTATGTGTATTCTAAGAACATTTTAACATAAAGCTGTGTGTTTGTTTATATTGGCCATCTCAAAACCACCTCAAAATATAATCCCTGTGTTTGCCACAAATAGCATTGAACTTATTTTTACCCAGCCAAATACTTCTGTTGAGAATGACTAAGTTTGTGAGATTTGATGCTATTATTAGCTAATGTATTAAAAGGTTACTAGTTTATTTTTGGTCATATAGATGACAGAGAAGTTTCTATGCTCATATTATATCATTACTACATTTTAAGGATGATAGAACCTTGCTTAAAGTGTTAATAAGTTCTTATTTAGCTTTTAAACAGTGACTTACAAGTATGCACTCGAGTTTCTGATTCTGAGTATTTGGGTTATAAGTGCTTTCCCTTATATATTTTGTATTTTCTACTTTGAAATATTTCAAGGTACAAGAATTTGCTATGTCAGGGGAAGAATGGATTTGATTAATCTACCTGAGAGTATCCTCAATCTTCTGTGAATTGAAGTGTCCATTAAGCATTTATTAACCTAGATCTTGGTACAATATGTTATCTGAACTGTAATCTTTGGCAAGTGAATTAATCCAATGAAAAGCTTAGGCACTCCTATTCTTAGTCTTCTTTTTTTTAAGGAAAAAGATAAAAGATAGAAAAGATAGTTTACTATAGAATAAAGAATTCTTTTAGATCTTATACTTAAAAAGTTTAGTTATGGATTTTATTTTGAAAGGTTATTTTATGGACTTCCATTGTGAATTTATTTTGCCGTCATTATTCTTTTTGTTTTGATGTTTTGATCATGGGTGACTTAGATAACTATAACTGGAAAAGACATCTTCACACTAGAATTTTCAAATGGGGGTGAAAGAAAACATTTCTGTTTAATTTCAAGTTATGTTGTCACCTGTAAAAGGAAGAAAACCCATCAGTTTAGTACTGACAAAGAGTCCTATTGTTTTGTAGCATTACTAGTAAATAGCTGTTGTTTTTCTGATTATAGCATGGATCATGTCCATGTTTACCAAACAGACAAAAATCCCGGTATCTTGCCAATATGAGACACTTGAGATGTCAACATAGTGAAGGGTATGCTTTTTCCGGTTCAAGGGACTAACTGTCGTAAGTTTAATTGGCATAAAATTTTACCACGTCTCTTAGTGAACTACTTTTCATTTACCTGTAAAGCAAAATTGGTATTTCAAAGTTATATTTTTCTCTGTTGATCTATATGATAGTTTTGTGTTCCTATTAAAAGTATTTTCATTCAAAAGAATGAAGAGCATCTTGCAAACTATGTACAGTAGATGTTGTTTCCAGAACCATCAAAGAAATGCATAATTTATTATTTTTATCATTGTAGTAAAAATCAATTCAGATATATTACGTATTTCCTTGCCTTCTTAAAGATATTAAAAATAATTTAACCTCTTCTTGATGCCAAAAGTCAATATTCCAAGCATTAATTACTGCTCTAGAGGCTATTTGTCCCATAATGGGAGCATGAGTCAATTTATGAGATTCTTTAAATGCTTGTGTCTCCTTGTAGATTTCTCTCTCTTCCCTTTCTATTGATTGTTAATTCTGCCTTTGGTCATCTTCACTTACCTTTTGGGATTCTTTGCTTGCAATTAGCTGGGGACACTCATTATAAAGCTTGTTGAAAGTATCACCTGAAAAAGTCTTAAATAGAATTGAATATGAATAGGCTCTTAGTGAGAGGACCTGGGGGGGCTCTTTGACGAAATATCCCTTGTCACTTCTCATCTTCAAGGGCCAATTAATATTACAAGATGGAGCTCTCATGTCCCCTCCTCTGTGAAGCCTTTCAAGACCCTCAATTTCTCCCGTGGCATCATTTTAAAGGTTTAAACGCAGCCAGTACACCCAGCTAGTACACCCAGAACTAAGGACCCAAGCAGAATGTCTCTAATCTTGACCACTTCACTATAATTAAGAAAAATTATCCCAAATTTAGAAATAGGATGTTAGGCTGGGAGGCTATGCGTCCTGACAAAGTCATGCTGCGGAACTGTTTAATAGGCAGGGCTTAATTCTCCAGGAGAATGCATCTGTGTTTAAACTTGCTATTTACTCTTTGATTAGAACCCAAGCACTATAAAGTTACACATTAATTTGTAGATTTTTCTCTGGCAGACAAGATTGCCTCAAAAGTTATGGTTTTATGACCCTGTAGGCTATTAGCCAGGTGTGAATCTAACCTACTAATCTAACATTCTTTTTCATGCTTGTAAACACCAGATTCTTGGGACTGTTCTTGGAGCCAACCTAGCCATTGTATTGGCTCCCTCATTAATGAGATAAGTAATTTTTAATATGTTAATTTTATGTCTGTATGGGAGGCATGTTGTTAAGTTTTCAAAAATTATACTTCGACTCTATACTGTGTTTAACTTATCCTAAAGAATTAAATGTTACACTTTTGAACCATCTCTGATTTTTTTCTAGTAAGAAAAGTAAATACGTAATTTACATTTTCCTCAAGACCAAAATATTTTAAAAGAGCAGGGAAGTTGCTCATGCTACAAGGAAGTAGTTATGTGTCTCAACTACTTCCTAAAATCATTAACCAAAAGCTCCATACTCCATAGGTCTTTGTAAATATCTCTTTTGTGATTTTCCGAATGGTTATTTTTTGTATAGGTGCCTCATCCACTAGTGGGAATTTCTGAAGGACACAGGCCTTGTTTTGATAAAACTGAGATGGTGCTTGGCGTAGTAGACTTGTGATAAAGTGCTGAAAGAATGAATTTTGAGTATTTGAAATGCTTTGGAATCTGTAAGGCATTATAAAATATTTTTCCTACTATTCTAGTACTTATTCCTTAAATATTTTCTTTCTTTTTCCTAGTTTGGAGGAGGAAATAATAATAATTTTTCCCCACATTTTTCACCTTGGTGAACTGCCATACACAAAAGTAAAACAGAAGTAATGTACTTTAACTTTCTTCAGACCAGCATAGAGTCTTAGGTTCATGTTCCCAAATGGCCAGGCAAATATGATTTGCATTTCCTCTCTTTTAGAAATAGACGTAAATCCAGAAATCCCACACCATGCATGTTCGGATGTGAGTGTTTTAGTCTGCAGTGGCTAAAAAGTGCCACACTGGAGATTTATTTGGATATTGAGGCTTTGAACTAATCTTTGGAAAATCCACCAGCCTTCCAGCAAGTTATAGAATTATTGCTTCCTATAATTATTTTTGTTTATAAAAATCTAAGACTAAGTTGGAAGATTGGCAGTCTCTTAATATACATAGCTATCACCAAGCAATTAAACAAGCAGAAATATATAATTTTGTTCTGAGAAGTCAGTGTTAACTTTGTCTTAAAAGTCTGAGGGCTACACTGGGCATCAGCAGAGATTTCATTTTTCTGAGATTTGTTTTTAAATAAAATCATGTTCACAGCTAAGTATATTTTCAAAGAACACAGAAACAAAAATCTCAAAAAAAAAAAAAAAAGGAAAAGGAAAGAAAAAGAAAAACCCCTGCACATACCTTTTTAAGTGATTTTATCAAGCTGGTGAGGAGTTTTGCAGGTAACTTCCTGCCACTTCCATGGTCCATCAAGGGGGAAATTCTGTTTCAACCCAGGTAGCACACCAGGGCTGACGGCTGCTGGGGGAATTAGAATATTTCCTCCCCTATCTGCTATTTTTCCCACTGAAGGAAGAAAAAGAAATTGTATGAGAAAATGCCAAAGGTTAAAAAAAATCCCATTTTTTTTACATTATTCCTATTCATCTCTTGTCAAGGTAAAGTCTGACTTCTGCATATAAGAATGGGTCTTTTAAAAATATACTTAATCTATGTCTATCAGGTGAATGATAATGAAGGGTTGAGGGGGCATTTTCACTTTTATTTTCTACACATTTGTGTTGTGAGGATTTTTTACAAGGAACATGGATTTGTATTTTTTAAAGTGCTATTACAAAAACTGACAGTGGGTATTAAGATGGAGAGATTTCTAAATCTTTCTTGATTTAAGTCAGTAACTCCTAAAGTTAGCTGATCATCAGAATCACCTGGGGAGCTTTAAAAATCAGGTTCTCAGGCCCCACCTTTGGAGATTCTGATTCTGGTCTAGAATGGGGCCCAAGAACCTAATTTTTAGAGGCTCCTCGAGGGATCGAAACGCCTAGGAGCTTTGGGAACCTGTGGTATACATTCTTAAGGTGGTTCCTTAAAACAGTCTTCTCCAGTACTGACGGCAGAGGGTTTCTACAAAACCTCAAGAGATTTTTAAAGTGATTAATCAAACCAGCCACACAGGGTCAGTCTTTCTCTGCAGGCCTGTGGCTGACAGTGAGTGTCCCTTACAAGGTAGAGGCCAACTTAGCAAGAGAAACCACTTGTCGGTGTGCTTTCCACAGTGAATGGTGATAAACTGTGCCTTTTGCTTTTTGCACCAATAGCCGAAGGCTTTCTTAGCTAGAGGAAATGAGATGGTTTATTGGACTCTTCCACGATTTTTTTCCCTGCCAGACTAGTGTCAAAACAGCTGGCCCTGGAAAAGAGAAAACAAACCAAAAGGAGTGCATGGGACCACACCCAGTGCTAATAGTGATAACGCTTTGATAACACAGCCATCACGTTGGTGAGGCTTCAGGTGCTGGTTGGAATGAACCACTTAGGAGAGGCGAGTTCAGGCTTTCTTTGTCCTGCAGGACCTTCACAATGGCCTCAGTGTCCGGTAACTGGACAAACCACGAGTTGTTGATTTGCAGTTCATGAAATCACCCCCAAATTTTATTGTTCAAATAATCACCAAATATTCCTGCCCATGTCCTGCTTTGAGAAAGTTCAGTGTAGACCCGTACTGGAAGTTTGCAGCAGATCCATCTGAGGGAGATCAGTGCATGTTCAGTCAAACGAAGGCCCAGTTGGCTGCGCCCCTCTTTGCACACAGCGGGCCGGTCTGTGGCTGATGGTTGCGGTAACCAGCCAGGGTTTCTGGTTTATCAACAGTCTCAGAGAAAAGGAATCCACTCCTCCCAGCCCTCACAAAGGACTTCCTCAGGGAGAACAAGGGAAACTTCTTTGGCTCATGTCTAAGGAGGTTAATTGGTCCAAGATCCATGGTACAACTAATCACTCCAGTTCCCACACACACACACACACACACACACACAATCGGAGACCAAAACACAACATTTCAGTCAGCTTGATGCGGCTTGAAAGCTAAACGTTGGCATTAGGCAGAGCGTCTATTAAAAATGCTAACCAAAATTCGATTAAATGACAAATCTCATTTAAGAAATGTGCACATATTGTACGCTTTGTGGTGTAAACTACATTTGCTACAAACCAAATGTACAAACAGATGGACCTAGTAACGCAGGAACGAGCAGGGTCGATATCATCCTTGCAAATCAGGGCCTGCCTTAGGAGGCGCCTCTGACGTCAGCAGTGCTGCATTTAGCATCTCCGCAAAATATGTTTGGGTTCGTTTTCTGGAAGAACACGAAGGGATTTTCCCCATTTCTTCTGTAAATATCTCTCGGGCAGGGGATCCAGTCAAATGCCTCTGAAATAAGATTTGTGAGATGGGGCAGCGTTTTACAGAGGTCACGGCCCAAAAAAGGAATAACCTTTATCTACGTTCCCATCGCTTGCACCCATTGAGCAACTGCCTGTCTAACCCTCTCCATTTCTAGACACGGTCAGTTCCTTATTTTTTTCAAAACAGAGCTTCCAGAGGCAGGCCCATCATCAGCACATTCACACACTCACAAACCCCGTCTGGGAATGGCCCGACGTGTCCTTGCTTGCGCTGCTTTTAAAGCCAGGCCTGCCTCATTCCACCGGGACTTCTTCTAGGGTAAGGGATCATGTTCGGCCTTGTACACACAGTGAGCACTGTCTGCTTTGGAATGCTTCGAAATCGCCGTGTCCACAGGGAGACCTGGGGTGTCTGCAGGGCTGCAAGCACAAACACCTGCCATCGTTCTAGCTGCTCATCTGTAACGCCACCACAGGGGTGGAACAGTCCAGAAGGAAGTGACCTCTCTGTCCCCTCCATCTTGTTTGCGGCCGGTGAGGATTGGTTAGGAAGGCACCTCCACCCCTTCCCCTGGAGCCTTTATATGGCCACTTGGCTCCCAGCTCGGCCTCTGCCTCCTGCCTGGCAGGAGCGTGCCCTGTGGCTCTCTTCCCAGACCCTCTGCAGGCACATTCCCGGTGGGTGCTGCTAGCATTTGGCTGAGCTCGCTCCTTTTTTCAGCCTTGGCCTCGCTCTGCACCCCTGACCGGGCGGACAGCACAATAAGCCCGTCCCTTGTTCATTCTTTCCAGCTCCTGCTGCTTTGCCCTTGTGGAACTGGCTCTTCCCCCACTCAGCACGGAACCCGAGTGCCTGATTTATGTCTGTGGACTTAAAAAAAGAACAGAGCACAGCGAAATGCCAGCCTTGCCCCGTGCTTTTGAGTGACAGCCACATCCGGAAGCATACAGTTGGTGCTCAATAAATGGCTGCTGATGGAATGGATAGAGGAGGCATCAGTATAGTCTCTTCTGGTTTTTATTTTTTATTTTTAAAAGATTTTATTTATTTATTCATGAGAGACACAGAGAGAGAGGCAGAGACACAGGCAGAGGGAGAAGCAGGCTCCCCCCGGGGAGCTGGATGTGGGACTTGATCCCAGGATCCTGGGATCACGCCCTGAGCCAAAGGCAGAGGCTCAACCACTGAGCCACCCAGGCGTCCCTCTTCTGGTTTCTAAATGATCTTCTAGGGATCCCTGGGTGGCGCAGTGGTTTGGCGCCTGCCTTTGGCTCAGGGTGCGATCCTGGAGACCCGGGATCGAATCCCATATCGGGCTCCCGGTGCATGGAGCCTGCTTCTCCCTCTGCCTATGTCTCTGCCTCTCTCTCTCTCTCTGTGACTATCATAAATAAATAAATTAAAAAAAAAAATAAAAAAATAAATGATCTTCTACTCAGAGTCTGGGTTTTGAGTTGCCAGCATCTCAGCTTCTCCCATCTTGTATGGTTCAGCACTTACGCAAAGTGTTGACCCACTTTTAGGACCCTAGGGCTGATTAGCATTTTTGCAGTAGTGCCGTCTGTCTTCCCCACGGGTATCTGTTCTTCAAGCCACCTCTACGTTCAATTAATGCTGAGGTTTTGTTGGAGGGTGGGAAGTTGGGTAGATGTTGCAAATTGCAAATCCTTGATTCAGCTCTCGGATCCACACTGCCTTGAGAAGTTCCTAACCAAATTTTAAATGGGGCATCTTGAAAGTCTTTCTAAAATATTTTCCTTTACCTACTAGAAGTAGTTCTCTCCTAAGTAAGGGGAGTCGGCTGAACATAGTTTATTACTTCTGTGATAGGTTCATACGGTTCCTTCCCTACGGTCAATATCATGCACACCAGTGATTTTAAGGCCTGGTGGGAAGTTGTGGGGGGCATCCAGGAGGACTGTGTTCCCTTTGGCTGACTGTGGACAAGGGTAATAATGAGAGGTGATGCAGGACTGGTCACACGGGGCTGGAGGGTGCCTCGGACGCTGGCTTTGACATCGAATAGGCCGTGGATGTTTCTGGGCAAGTGGATGACATAAGAGCTGTATGGCAGGAAGTGGTCACAGAGGGGGGATGCCATCAAGGGCCCGAGGCAGGAGTCTTCAGACAGGCTCCCCGGTAAAATGCCTCAAATAAGACTTTTTCCCATTTTTCCCAGGCATGGGAAGGAGGGGCCGGGGGAGATTCTGAGACGGCAGAGCAGAGGGAACTCGGTGGCTGGTTGATGAGGGGAGTGAGGAATCAAAGATGCTTGTGGGGCCAAGTCTGGGGGATCGGACAGGTAAGGGTTATGGGGAACAAGGAGATGGGCTGAAGGAGTTTGGGGGTCCATCTGTGAGCACTGGTGGTAGGTGGTCCACATCCTGCCTCTTCTCACCAGGGTTGGACTTGGGGATCACCCAGCCCCGTGAAGCCTGGGTCCCCACATCCCTGAGTGGGAGGAAAGCCTCCTTCACCGACTTTAGGCCAATGTCTCGCACGCGGAGAATAACAGCAACCCAACTGCTGCTGCTGCTGGAGCTTGCCAGCTGCTCAGCTGTGTCCTGCTCCGTGCTTTGTTCCAGTTAAAGCAATTTCATTTACAGCAGCGCGGGGCCCACTGAGACCGAGTACCATGCTTGCTCCTAAGAGCACAACACATTCGAACCAACGAGAATATGGCACAGGCCGTAACTGGAAAGCACGTGGGAGGTCAGGCCTCTTACAATAGGTGTACCTGTTTGTCTGGGCTCTGGTTGACCGCAGCTATTGCTAGGCCGTTTCCATTGTTAAGCAAAATTAGAAAGTTGATATGAACTGGTTATACGAGACTGCTTGCTTGCTTTCTTTCTTTTTTAAGATTTATTTATTTGACAGAGAGAGAGCACAGGTAGGCCGAGCAGCAGGCAGAGGGAGAGAAAGAAGCAGGCTTCCCACTGAGCAGGGAGCCCGACACGAGGCTCGATCCCAGGACCCTGGGATCATGACCTAAGCTGAAAGCAGATGCTCAACAGACTGAGCCACGCAGGTGCCCCTAGACTGCTTTCTCTAAACAAAAATTCTCTCTCCTGATTCATCTTTATTTCGCTGCTTCAAAATTCACAGCTATGGTATGAATATGCAACACTGTGTGAAGGTTAGTAAAAATGCTCCAGAAGTTCAGGGTAGGTTTATAGGTGGTTCTCAGATGTTGTCCGGGGACAAAAGAGAGAATCTGTACCTGAAAGGAGAATTATTTTATTTTCTGCTATGGATTCAATCAGTGATCTCTACAAACTGATAATTCTGGCCTTTGTCTAATTTTTCAAATCTTCATAGAATAATTAAGTGGCATTTTGCAGACTTGAGAAGGATTGGGTGGTGGGACAATGAATAACCTCTCTATGATCGCGTCCGAGGCAGCCCTCTGCACAATGCGGACCACCCACGGTCAGCCGAGGGGCCTTGCAAAGCCGTCTGGCTTAGCCAGTGCTCTCAGGATTCCAGATGAGTCAAGACAAGCACTGGTATGGGAATAAGGAAGCACCACCTCTGCCAACCTCCTGGGAGACTGCTTCTATTTTGGCCTATTCCATGTTCCCTAGATTTGCAGAGAATATATTTGAGAAAGGTGGGGGGGGGGGTGGAATGAAAAGATGCCTTAGCCAACCCTGAGAAAGAGGACAGAAACAGTGAGCATAGCAGTTGCTGGAAGCTTGGTGCTGCAAGCGGCACAATCTGCCATCCCCATTTGTTGATCTCGCATGCCATCCTTCAGTTGGCACCACTGCTGCCAGGAACCACCCCCTCCTTTTTCCATCTGAAGGCAGGGAAAGAGGTATTGTGGCAGTGTTAACTCTTCCTGCCCTAAAGTCTGGAGTTTCTTCTTCCCACGTGGGGCTTAATAATCTCTGCCATGTTAGGATCCACGCGGATACTAGAATCAAGGAATTTTAGAAGTTGAAGGGGCTGGAGAAAGCAGCACTTAGTCTCCCCAGATTAGACCACATGGGACAGTGGATGGAGGCCCCTTGAATCTGCAAGGATGGGGAAGGAAAGCTGCCTTTATCTGCAGCCTGGGATCTCGTCTGAACGCTCCTGGCAAATCAGCAACGATGATTTGGGTAGAGATGGTACAGGGCCAGAGACACCTGCTGAGTTCTATGAAGGAGTAAAACAAATACAGGGAGGCACAGGTGAAGCAGCGAGGCCTGGGAGGAGGGGAAAGGAGGAGGACCGGTCTAGCATCCTCCTGAAGACAGCCGGTTGACATTTTACGGGGTAAATTGATGAGCCTGATATGATTCAACAAAAAGAATACAACTACGTTTTACATTTTTTTATAAAGAAGCCATTCAAGATCACATATGATGTCTTTCCTGTTTTGCTTACCGAGCCTCCGGGGAGATGGGAGAGGAGAGCAATCTAGGGAACAGTGCGAAGTCCAGAAATGTCAACATGGCTACAGTTGAGCATATGGGGGAGGTGACCTCCTGGATGGGAAGGATGGGGAACAGCTTTGTTCAGATTGAAGGACTGCAGATGATCACTTCTAATGAATTAATTTGTGTGTCTAAATGCTTGGCACAGTGCCTGGCACATCGTCAACACTGTGTGTTCATTGCTGCCATTACGGTTGGCCATTATAGTCTTCCAGAGGTAGACCTCGTGGGGGGGGGGGTGTCTTTCATCAGAAATCATATACCCAGGTTCATGCAAAAAGCTCATATTCCTTAGCTTAGAAAATAGAAGATGGAACATCCTTGGAGGAGCCTAATTCTCACAAATCCCCTCTGTCCTGTTTGGAAAACATCCTGCTTCTCTGTTGGGTGTGGCTGGGCGGGAGGAGCCTCTGCCACCAGGAACCTTGTGAGGTAACCACGGGTTCTATGTGAAGTGACAAGTATCATCGTGAAATTGTGTGTGCTTGCTTTGGGTGGAGGACCCACAGACTAAAGTTTTTTTAGGGAGCCATCTGGTGATCAGAGACAGACAAAGCGACCCCCGTCCCCAGGAAGGGGACTGTCCCAGGACTCTTTCTCGAGACCCACTCCCTTCCCCGTCCTCCCCTCCAGATAGCCACTCTTCAAACGTTTTTCAAGGTTGAACTGAAATTCCCTGGAGGTCATTTTGCTGACCGCCACCCCCCCCCCGTCCCCACTGTCCCCTAGGCGTCCTCCCGTCTAAACTCCTCCGAGACCATCGGGTCTGTCCCACACAGTTTAATGCTACGAACATGTTACTGATGGCATGAGAAAAAGGTTCAGAACGGTGCCCAAGTCATCCCTCACGACTTGTGCCTGGCCTGTTTGGTCTTGTTTACCCTCACGACACAGAATTTTCTCCAGTCTGCACATGGGGCGGATGGAGACACAGAGAGGCTAAGCCAAGTCACAGGTATGAAGCAGACTGGCTGGCTCTCAAGCTGGGGATCCTAACCCCTGTCCTTCAGTGTCTAGCTGCCTGCATTGGCCCTCTCACCCCACATGGGTTAGCCTTGTCTTCTCAAGTAGATTGGAGGCTCTTCAGGGCACCTTGTCTCCTGTCCGTCCTCCAAGTGTGTCCTCCCCAGCCCCTGGCACTCACAGTCACCGACGCCTGGCATTCGGGCTCCCGCAGCCCAGGAGCGGCTTCTCCCAACTGGGATGACCGGCTACCATCGGTTGCTCACTGAGCTGAGGGTTTTTTCTTTTTTTTTTTTCCCAATGTGAACTCTCTCCTGGACCAGCTCCAGTTCTTGCTGGCGTGTTAGCCTCCGACTTTCTTAATGTTGACAAATGGTTCCCAGCTGCACAAGCCGCGGCCTCGCTTCTGCTCGGCCAGTGCCAGGGAAAAGTCTTTCAAGAACAAGCAGGAACAAGTTGGTGTTGGCCGAGCAGCCACGGGCAAATCCAGAAGCTTGTCCTCTGTCTGTGACCTTCGGCTCTCTGCCACGCGTGGTCCCTGTGCTGCCTGCACCCCACCTAGACCTGGCTCCCCGATTAAAACAGGCCCAGGCCTCTGCCCTCGTTGGGTAAGCCTGCTGACTATTGCAGGTCTGATACACAGAGCCAGGTTTCTTGGGAATCCCTCCTGGTGACCTGTTTGCATTTTATTTTATTTTTTACTTTACTATATATTAAAAGATTTTATTTATTTGAGAGGGAGAGTTTGTGCATGAGTCGGGGAGGAGCAGAGGGAGAGGGACCAGCTTGAGTGCAGAGCCCGACTCGAGGCTCGAACTCACGACCCTGAGATCATGACCTGAGCTGAAATCAAGAGCAGAGGCTGAACCCACTGAGCCGCCCAGGAGCCCCACATATTTGCATTTTAAAAGGAGATAATTCCTTAGCTGCTCTGCAAAAGGCAAGACAAAGGAGATCCTTGCACCAGGGGCCATGTGGGAGGCTTGGCTCTAGAAAGCACTCCAGGTCAGGGGGATCCTGGATTCAAATCCTGACTCACTCCTTGCTCGTTGTTTGACCAGGCAGGTTCTAAGAACCCATTTCTTGTCTGTCAAATTGCACAGCCGGCACAGTGAGAGTTAGCACCCAGGTCACTCACAGCCCCTGAGTGAGTGTCTCTTTAAAGTCTCTTCCTCCCTAAGGAATCTCCTCACCGTCCGTGGGTATGGGGAAGGCCAGTGTTCTCATTTGTCTGTTATAGAATTAAGAATGTAATTGTTTTTGTGTCCTGTTTACTTGTAAATTGTTCTCAGTTTGGGATTTTTCGAAACATTTATTTAATGTGAAATAGAGCGTATATGCAGAAAAGTGCGTAAAGCACACACGTGCACCTCAGCCAATAGCGGTAAAGGCATCGCCCACGTAACCACTACCCTAGTCAAGAAGGAAAAACACTGCTTTAAAGTGGCATATTTGTCAAACACAGTGATTCTGTCCCCAGGGGACATTCAAACCTTTTTGGTTGTGGGCTGCCAGGCTGGCTCAGTTGCACGCGATCCTTGATCTCAGGGTCATGGGTTCAAGCCCCATATTGGGCGTGAAGCCTACTTAAAAAAGATGGTTAGACCTTCTTGGTTGTGACGTCTGGGGAGGTGCTACTGGCATCTATAGTAAGAGCCAGGAATACTGCTGCTAAATCTAGCCCCCCCCCCCACAGCAAAGATTATCCTGCCCCCAAAGTCTGTGGGGCCCAGGTTGGGAAAGCGCGCTGCAACACAGGGTGATCAGCCGTCGTGCCGAACAGTCGATTTTCAGAAACACTGCGCCTTCAGCAGGAGGTGAACTTCTAGGGAAAGATTTGGGTGTTGTAGCAACCTGTTGGTGTCACTACTTAGATTTACATGACACGTTTTCAGTAATCCTATCCCACTCGACTAATTGTTGTCTGAGGGGTTAAAAAGAAAAGAAAAGAGGCCAACCAGGATTCAGACGCAGGATCTGAAGTTAATGCCCTCGCTAATAGCATCACTCAGTTCGTAGCCTCTCACTGCTGCCAAGTGCTTATTAATCTCCTCCATCAATTTGCACCGATCTTGAGAATCAAACTCTAGACAAGTTCGTGGGCGCCAGGTGCGCCCCCCTCTTCGAGTAATCAAACCGTGAATAAGTGAACAGGCTGTACTACTTCCAGCAACTGGCCTCAGCTCCTCGGCCCTCTAACCGGCTCCCCTTCCCTGCAGGATCTGGTGGTGCGGATCGTCTTCATCCTTGGCAACCTGACGGCGAAGAACAACCAGGCTCGGGAGCAGTTCTGCAAAGAGAAAGGGAGCATCCCAGCCTTGCTGTCGCTGTTCGGCACGTTCCACCGACTGGACCTGGGCGCCGAGAAGCGGGCGGCGAGAGCCGGGCGGGCCCAGGCCCAGGACGTGCTCATCAAGCTGACCCGCGTGCTCGCCAACCTGGCCATCCACCCGGCCGTGGGCCCCGCACTGGCCGCCGACCCGCTCGCCGTGGGCCTGCTGCTCACCACGCTCGGTATGGCGCCCCCGGCATGTGACAAGGCCCTGTGGCCACCCTACTGCCCCCCGTCCTGGCAGCGCAGCCGCCTTGGGTGAGCCTTCTGTTTCAGGACGGAAAATTCTTCCTCTGCTCAGAACTGCCTTAAAAGCAGTCCAGATTAAAAAATATATATATATAATATACATTATATATATTATATAATATATATATAGCCTTTTGCAGAGCAGCTAAGGAATTATCTCCTTATAAAATGCAAATATATGGGGCTCCTGGGTGGCTCAGTGGGTTCAGCCTCTGATCTTGATTTCAGCTCAGGTCATGATCTAAGGGTCATGAGTTCAAGCACCTTTCATATATATATGAAAAGAAAAGAGAAGAGAAAAAGTAAAAAATAGTTACTAAAACCCACTGAAGTGTATGTCTTGAAAAGGGTGAATTTTGTCACAATTTAAAAAAAAATTTTTTTTACTTTTTTTTTTAAGATTTTATTTATTTATTTGACAGAGAGAGAGAGAGAGAGAGAGAGAGAGAGAGAGAACATGAGCAGGGGAGGGACAGAGGGAGAGGGAGAAGCAGGCTCCCGACTGAGCAAGGAGCAGGGAGCAGCTGACGTGGGGCTGGATCCCAGGACTCCGGGATCCTGATGTGAGTCTAAGGGAGATGCTTAAGGCTGAGCCACCAAGGCGACCCGCATTTTTTTCTTAAGTGTACCAATCAGATTACTGAAAATTGGCCAAGCTAAGGATAAAGCATTTGAAATCCTTCATTTTTCCTGTACTCGTCCACGTGACTAGAGTGTTACCTTTTTCTTTTTCAGGTTTTTACATTATCTGTATTATGACCCCCAGTTATCCAGGTCCCCTTTCCCCCCATTATTAGCCACTTAGCCACGGCACTCTTCCATAACAAACCACCACAGACTCGGTGGCTTACCGCAGAAATGTGTTTCTTCTCATGGTTCTTGGGGTGCCGGCCAGGGGTCTGGGATGAAGCTCTCCCCTTGCCTGGCAGGCAGCAGCCTTCTCACCAGGTCTTCACATGGTGGTTCCTCCAAGTGAGCCCTCAGGGAGACAGAATGATCTCTAAGGCCACCAGTCCTATGGGATAAGGACTCCACCCTTATGATCTCATCTGACTTTACCTCTTAAATCCGCATCTCCAAATACAATTGCATTGAAGGTTAGGGCTTCCATGTATGAATTCAGGGCAGGAGACACAGTTCAGTCCATTGTACTGTATCCTGCCCCCACCCGCCCCCCAATTCATGTCCTTCTCACATGGAAAACTCATTGCTTCCATCTCAGGAGCTCCAAAGGTTTTAACCCTGAAGTCTAAGGACCAACATCCCATGTAAATACCTAAATCAGATATTGTGAGACTCAAGAATTCCTCTCCTGTGAACCTGTGGAACCGGACTTGTTATGCTTCCGAAATACAGCTGTGGGGCAGGCGTAGGATTGACATTCGCATTCCAAAGGGAGGAATAGGGGAAAAGGAAAAGGTGGCAGTTCCCAGGCAAGGCGAATTCCATCATATTTTAAGACTTGAAAATAATCCTCTTTGGTTCAATGCTTTGCCTTCCAGACCCATTGGGGTGGAGGTCCTGCCTCCAGGTACTGCTCTGCAGGCCGGGCCCGTCCTCGGGGCTTTGGGGTAGAAGGCATCTGGCCTGTTGAAACCGAGGCAGTGGCCCTGGATCTCTCACTCACCTTTGGGGTCATTTCCACTCCTCTTGAAGGATATTGCACACTCACAGCCAAAGAGCGCTCTCCTCCTGTCCTGTCACATCTGAGGATGGCCTCCCTTCATTTTGCCCCATCTCAGAGCCTTTCGGTTCAAACTGGCAGTGTTTCTGCTCACATAAGCCCAGAAGCCCTATATCGAATGATATTCCAAATGTGCGCTTGGTTCTCTCTAGCACATGATTTCTCACTTTTTGCCTTAGGGATAGGCCGAGAATTTTCCAGATCTTCAAGTTCTAGTTCCTTTTGCTCAACAATTCTTTCTTCACATTCATCTCTCTCTCCTCACATTTTACTATAATGTCAGGAGAAGCCAAGTCGCTCCGTAAACACTTTTGCTTAGAAATCTCAGCTAAATATCCAACATTGTTGCTTGCTAGCTCTACCTTTCGCAAAACACCAGAATGCAAACATAGTTCAGCCCAGTTCTTTGCCACGTTAACAACTTTCCTGCAGTCTCCAGGAACCTCTTCCTTGTTTCCCTCTGAGGCCTCACCAGAATGGCCTTTATGTCCCTGTTTGTACCTGCATGCTCTTTTCCCTAAGAAGGTGGAAGCTCAAGCTCTCTCTCTCTCTCTCTCTCTCTCTCTCTCTCTCTCCTCTTTTCTTTCAGAGCCCTCACCACAACTGCCTTTAAGATTTCTTATTTCTAGCATCCACCTCAGGACTCCTCCAGCCTCCGCCACCTGCACCCCCCAGTTCCAAAGCCACTGTCACACTTTTAGGGTTTGTTACAGCAGCAGCCCGCTCCGTGGTGCCAACACCTGTCTCAGTCGGCTGGGGTTGCCACAGCAAAACAGCGTAGCCTGGGTGACTTCAATAACAGATTTATTTCATCACAATCCGGAGACTGGAAGTCTGAGATCCGGATGATGTCATGGCTGGGTTCTGGAGAGGTCTGTCTTCCTGGCTTGAGGATGGCTTCCTTCTCACCATGGCCTCACGCAGTCTCTGCTGGCGTGTGCACTCGGACAGCACATGCTGTCTCTCTCTCTCTCTCTCTCTCTCTCTTCCTCTTCTCTAAGGCCACCAGCCCTATTGGATAAGACTCCACCCTTATGACCTCATTTCATCCTCATTAGCCCTTAAAAGCTGTAGTTCCAAATACAGTTACATTAGGGCTTCACCATATGAAGGGGGGGTGCATAATTCAGTCCCTGACACCCCCTTCCACTTTTTAGGCCTCATCACTTCCTGCAGGCACCTCCGTCTACCAGGGAGCAGGAAATTAACTGCCACACAGAGTGATCAACTTAGCTACTGGTTACCAGGATCCGAAAGATCTCATGGTAGAAGAAACATTAATACCTGATGAAAATGATGTTTGGGGGTGACCTTTGAACTTCGCCCCCTGCTCTTCATTAAGATCCATTACTGAGTCCTCAGTGCACAACGAGTCCTAGGCTTCGGGGGGTTTATCTGAGGCTATTCAGGCTCCCGTGTAACAAACTACAGCAGACAGGGTGGCTTCAACCCCTGAAATCTGTCTTCTCACGGTTCTGGAGGCTGGAAGCCCAAGGTCAGGGTGCCAGCAGGGTTGGCGTCTGGCCAGAATGCTCTTTCTGGCTTGTAGATGCTACCTTCCTCTTAGAAGGGCAGCAGCCTATTGGGTGAGGGCCCGGCCTGATGACTCATTTAACCCTTCATTAGCTCCAGATTCAGTCACACTGGGGGTGACTTCACTCTGGGGCTTCTACATATGAATTTGGAGAAGAACACAAACATTTGGTGCCTAACAAGGTTTAAGAACACATAGTATCTGCTTTCAAGGAGCTCAGAGTATGTGGCGGAGGCAGGGCAGGCGCGCAGACAAGAGGGTGGTGACAAGTGCCCGCAGCAAGGTGTACACAGGACGTGAGGCCCGAGGAGTTGGAACCCCAGGACTTGTCCCTGGAGGCCAGTCTCACTGTAGAGGGCCTTTTAAAATTTAATTAAAAAAAAAAAAAAACTGTTTCTAAGAAGGACTAGCCCTTTCTGCAAGCTCCCAGATTTAGAGACTGGCTGCCTGAGAGGCAAGCTCCAAATTCTAGACTTTCTTACATCCATGAGCCAGCTACAGAGGGCTAAGTGATTCTCTCATGCCCACTGGCAGCAAAGTATTGCTCCAGGTAGCTCTGATGGGCACAAAGGAAGATGCAAGGGCAAGAACAGATGGTTGAGTCAGATACTCCCAGATTCAGATGTGTGTTCTTTGAAGTCAGGCAAGGGATTTAACTCCTCTCAGCCTCAATGGTCTCATATAAGATGGCATTTTAGGAGGTTGATATGGACTGAATCGCATCCGCCACTCCCCAGCTTCCTATGTTGAAGCCCTAACCCTCAGTGTGATGGTATTTGGAGACGGAGCCTTTGGGAGATAATTAGGTATAGACCAGGTCATGAAGGGAGGGGGCTCGTGGTGGGATCAGTGTCCTTATAAGAAGAGACGCCAGAGAGCTTGCTCTTGCTTTCTCTCCACCATGTGAGGATACAGCAAGGAGGCCATCCGCAAGCCAGGAGGGGTTCTCACCATCCTGATGCCAGACTTCCAACCTCCAGAACTGTGAGAAAATACATTCCTGTAATTCAAGCCCCACATCTGTGGTATTTTGTTGTGGTGGCCTGAGTTGAGACAGCTGCACCCTTAGAGTATTAATGATTTGCGGGTTCAAATGCTGGTAAGTGCATTTAAAGCATTATTAATCATTTACTTTTGTGGGGGCTAAGTGCACACAAAGTACTTGGTGCTGTTGTGATAGAGGCCTGGTAGCTGTGGGTGCCTACCCTCTTGCCCTAGGCGCCGCACACTATTCCTTCTGGCCAAACGTCAGGTCCCACAGAAAGTGGTGATACATAAGAGGTACCCTCTCCCCACCCCCGGACAAATCCTCCTACCAAGGCAAGATTAAAAAACAGATTTCCAAACACTGTCCAAGGTCCAGTGTCATCAGTCTGGAGGCAGAAGGAACTAGGGCTCTTAACTGGCATTTCTGCATCTGCCAGGAGATGAGTCTGGAGGCTGAAGGCGGGAAACAGAATTCCTAAGGGTCTCATGTGCTAAGAGTCCTTCCCTACTTATTACATCCAGCAACTATTTACCGAACACCCCTATGTGCCAGACTCTGTTCTAGCTGCTGGGAATGCAACAATAAATCAAATAGACAAATCCCTAGTCTTGTAGAGCGTACATCTTAGGACTAGAAGACAAACATTAAACACACCACAGGCCAGGTGATTACACGGGCCCTGGAGCAGATAAAAAGTAGGGTAGGGGAAAGGGAGTAATGGATGCTAGTCTATATTGGGAGGTTAAGGAAACTATGTTCAATAAAGTGCCATCTAAGCAACAACCTGAAAGACGTGAAGAACAAACCAAATGGACACCTCGAAACAGAGGGTATTCTAGACAGAGGGAAGAGCGGTGCAAAGGGTTCAGGCAGGATCATACTGATATGTCAAAAAAACAAAACAAAACAAGAAGACCAATGTAGTTGGCACTGGGGACCTGGGGGATGAACCCCAGGTGGCCTGAGACGTCAGAACTGGGGCTGCCCAGGGGCCCCTGGGGGGCTCAGTCGGTTAAGCATCCGATTCTTGATTTCGGCTCAGGTCATGGTCTCAGTCAGGGTCGTGAGATCGCACCCCATGTCGGGCCCCACGCTGGGCATGGAGCCTGCTCAAGATTCTCTTTCTCTCTCTTCCTCTCCCTCTGCGCCCTCCCACCCATCCCCCGACCCCGTACTCCCCCAAGAGAGAACAGGGGCTGCCCAGGTAGGGCCTGAGGCCCAAGGGAGACAAGTGATGTTAGCTGACTTACTACTGAAGGGTCACCGTGTTAGGGGTAGACTCAGAGAGGAAGGTGGGAGACGAGAAGCCAGTTCAGAGGTGAGGGCGGGGCGAGGTGGTGTAGAGGGGGCGAGAAGGGATCAGATTCTGTGTGTTGGAGGGCAGCACTGATAGGAGTTATAGACAGATTATGCCCTAAGGGGCATTCTGTTCAGAGGTGGAGACGTGGGGAACAGACTCACAGCGTAGAAGCCCCAGGACAGCTCAGAAAACACTCGAACCCATGGGGATGAGAGACCGCTCAGCTCGCTGGCATGGGGCACCTTCACTTGACTGTAATCACAGGGCCTGGATCAGCCTAATTTTTCCAGACCCCCTGACTGGAGGGACTGAGCTTTAGAGTGTTCTAGAACTTGGTCAGGAGTGGTCCCCTGTGTCTGGTATGTCTCGTCCTGCAGGACGAGTCCTGGGAAACAAAGCCAACAAAGCCCTTGCACAGACCTGGTCTGGGACATGGGCTTGACCCTGGCACTGCTTTGGGGGGCGGTT